GAAGAGAAGAGAAGAGAAGAGAAGAGAAGAGAAGAGAAGAGAAGAGAAGAGAAGAGAGCTATTCGACCTTAAAATATAAAAACTTCTTCGATAGGATTTGTACCTACAACCTAATGGTTAACAGCCATTTGCTCTACCATTGAGCTACAAAGAATTTTATATTTTTAATTTTTTAAAACGTTTAGTATTTTTAAGCAAACATCGGGAGAAAAGCAAAGACTTATAGCATTAGATTAAACAAGGTTGTTCTAGTCCCAAGTGTAATTGGAGTGAGACATACGACTATATCTGTGTTATTGTCACCAATGATGTAAGATTCCTTACTTATATTAGTCAAAAGAGGGGAGAGGATAGAAGTACTCCAAAACAGATAAGGCAATATATAGGATCAACAAGGAAAATAGTCAATTCTGCAGAAGGAGATGTTGCTGATCGTACCAAACAGAGACTTGAAGATAGTTTTCTTTTCAATAATTCAAGTTCCACAACGTCTGATCAAATGGATAGCAAATTCAAACTGTTTTGGACCATAAGTAAAAATAAGGGATTGCTTCAAAGTAATGGATTAAAAAAATTGTTACAATCCTCGATGGAGCTACCAAAGCATCCCCAATTGATAACGACTGATACGTGTGGGTTGATGGAAATTCAATTAACGTCTATGGAAAAGAAAGAAATAGGACAAAGCCAGCGATCACGAAGAAGGTAAATTGGGTAATGTCGCTACGATCGTTTATCAATATGGTTAGAGACAGATGGCTTCAGTTAGAGGTTATTGGTAAGTATGACGACGAAATCGACGCGAAGGATTTCGCTCCAGGGGATGGTGAAGTGCAGCATGGAAATAAAAGTGGTATCAATGATGATATGGAGCCAATGCTGAGCAACGCGGACAATGATGCTAAAATTATACTGACGGATTACTACACACAACTTCAATCGAAGGGTATTGTAATACCTTTTAGACTAATACCTGTTGTTGAAACAAAACATGGAATTAAAAATCATCCAATGTACTATTTTAATAAGCCAACTAATTCCAAACCTTTAAATTTCATGACCATAGGTGGAGATAAGCATAAGCAAGTATCTGGTGAAGCTTGGAAGGGGTTGATGAGGACTATCAGATCGATGGATACCTTCACAAACCTAGTTACGGAATCGAGGATATAGATCGGTATCTCAAGGATGTTCAATACCCATTCCCATCAACTGATGAAAAAGCGACTGAATTAATTAAAGAGAAGAAACTGAATCAGCAACGTCGAAAAAACCTTGATACTAACCTTAAAATACTAAATGAGGTAATCCTTAAGTCTGCTCATGATATTAAGTGTCAAAGCAGTGAGGTGTATGATCACGATGTAATTTGCAAAAACTTCATGACGAGTCAGAGGCAGCTTTTCAAGTCTTTGGTGAGGCTCAGAAGCGCTAGAGAAAGCTAAAACTACTGTGAAGGGGTCAAACTCAAAGTCAGCAAGATCGGCGTTGAAGGCGGCTACATCAGCAATGAAAGCGAAAAAGCAGTCTATTTAGCGAAGTCAAAAAATATAGTCAAGTTTCACATGTAAAAACTGATGTCGAAGACTTTTCTAATCGCCAAGATCAGAGATCAGTGAAACAGACATTGAATAGCATGCTTAACCAGGTCAGCGCTTTAGGTAGCAAATCAAAGCTGCAAGGTCGTGGGCTAAGAGATGCTGGTGTCGCCCCGCTTGAAGGAGTTGTGCGCCGCGGGCGAACATACAACCTCAATGAGATTCAAGGCTTAGCTACACCTTCAGCTTATGTATATCGTCAGCTCGGAAGCAAGTATATCCGAATCCCTGATCTTGATAACAAAACCCTTGTGATTGTTCAACCCAATCGCCGCAAATGCGGGCCAAAGCGAGGAATCAGTGGTCCGCTACAGTCAATGATTCGAACCCTTGCATTTAAACAACATATTGATCAGGATGAGTATGACAAGCTCACTGTCGACGATAAAAAACTAAAACAAAGAGATCCTCGCGATTACCCATCTACAATACAATTTCCATGATCGGCTTGAGGATCCGTTAGAATCCCTAAGAGCGGAGTATGATAAACTCAAAGGTGAGCTTAAGTTGGGTAATGATAATCCTTCAATCATCAAGCAATTAGCATGGATATGTACTCCAATCGTTAAATTTCGGATTCTGAGTTCAATGATATTATCGTCCGATTGATATAGAGATGTTCATTTTCAATCCCCGAATTATTTCCAGCTCAGGTGGTAGATATGGCGACAACGCCGATCTCAACGTCGCAGAGCTAAAAGCCATCATGAAAAATCTTACCATGCATGACCGCCCTCAAAAGTCCGAGGCAGCTGTTTGGGCAACGGATCTTGACAAGACGCTCAAGAAAATGGATGCGTCAACCCAGACGGAGGGAGGGAAAGTATGGGCATACTCAAATAAAAAATAATCGAAGTCTGTCAAGACCTTTGCTATCGAAGCAATGCCGGATCTATTTGCCATTCCGCAATATATACTAATTTTTTTCTCTCCAACATGTATTTCCATTATCACATCTTCCACTGTCTTTGCGTCCCTGATAGGAACGAATGCACTATCTCCAAGAGCTACGATCTGGTCAGCGTGCATGATTGTAGAACCAATTACCTGAGTAGGTTTATCAGCAGTTCAATTCGATTTGAGATCTTTACTTGGTTTGCAACCATCGTTATATGACTACCAAAGATATCTTTTCGATAGAAAATCAGCGCTAAAAGATGAAAAATCAACTTTGTGTCTAAGATAGTATCGATGACGTCTCTT